CGCGAAGTGCTGCAAGCTCGTCGCACCGCTGTTGCAAGCTTGCCGCTGTGCCAAGCTCGTCGCTCACCGTCGTTGCAAGCTTGCTGCTGTGCCAGCATAGCCACGCGCCACCACGCTCGCCTTGTTGTAGCTGTTGCTGCTGCTCGCCCTAACGCTTACATAGCGCACCTCCTTGCTCGCTCGCTGCCGCCAGAGTGCCGAATGGCAGTGGAGCAACCCAACCCCCGCGCCAGTCCAAGCTTCGAAGAATCGAAGTTCAACTTTGAAATTTTGGCACCCGTCTTCTACAGGTTGGGCGGGCTCACTCCACTACTTACCAAATGTGTGAAATGGGAATGAATAATGTGTTACTTCATGGGAAGTTTCATAGCCTTTTTTTTGGTCTTTTGTGCATGTACATGCACAAAGACCAAAAAAAAAAGACTATGAATCTTCCCATGAAGTAACGCAAGATTCATTCCCATTTTACACATTTGGTGAGTAGTGGACTGAGGCCCGTTGGTCTGCGGCTTTGCACGTCCAACTACAGGTGAAAAAGAGCAACAGTAGGAAAATAAAACGCGGGGGCCTATTTCTTACTAATAGGACCCCAATACCTGTCATATTGCCGGTGAAAAGGGCCCACCCTAAATTAATATTGCGGCCTGGCCCTAATACTACCTGCTACCTACAAGGCTAGTACCTATACTAGTTTTATGGCCTACAAGCTTCGGGTCACCCAGGCCAAACCTCCACCCAGCCGTACCCGCCCAGGGAATCAAGACTACCACCCCGCCCAGCCATGCCCCCTTGAAACTTTCTCACCCTGCCCAATTCCACCCACCATATTCTCACACATATTCACACCCAACCGGACCAATGCACATATCCTTCGGAGGCATACCCGCACCCCATCCAAAACTCCCGGTTACGGCTGGGTACGGTCGGGTCCGGTCACGGCCACCCGTTGGCGACCTCTGGCCAGAGTGCACCCGGACATTGCAAAAAGATGTGTTCAATTGTCACCGGCCATTTTTTGGCTGGGAACGAGGTGATGCACAACTTGCACCAGGGGAGGGGTCGTCCTTTCTGTTCCAAGGATGTTCTATCTATCAGCCAGTTATTGGTAGGTAGACAGCGATGTTCCAGCTGCCATTGGAGAGAGGCAATTTTAGCCGGTTTCTCTTTGGCCATCCTGAACCAATTAATCAGCCTTAGCTCTTCCTTGCTGACGTTTAAGTGGTTTCTCAAGCGTTCCTCTACCGAATCTCGAAGGTTTATTGTCGGTCTTAGCAGCCTGTAGGTGGACTTGACTGTTAGACCGTTTAATGTCCTAGTACATTTCCTTCCTTTCCCCATGTGGTTTGTCCATGTCCATTCCAACGGGTCCAGGGCCAGATGATGAATCGGGGAACAAGGTTGGAAGGCTATGTTTTGTTAATTTTCCTCGAGTACTCTAATTCTAAAGAGCGCTTCTTTTTGGCACTCGATGGTGCCTTGCTGCTTTGGATTATGTTATCCCATCCTACTTGGAAGAGGTTTACTTCCACTCTTCCTTCGGGGGTGCACCGGGCCACCCTACCTACTTCTCCTTGTCACCCGGTCATCGCCACCTAGTCTGACCTTTGTAGGATGGGGCCTTTGTGAAGGATTCTCCACCAGTCTAGGGGATGGTGAAATGAATCGCTAGTTTCTCTAGGTTCAGGCTTTGAAAGAATCTGTTGTGGTGTATGGAGTTTAGAAATAGGGCATGGGAGCTCGGTTGTTCGGAGTTTGCACGTCGGCGTCGTAGTACACGCTATTGTCATCTACAATAGGGAAGGTCGGCAGCGTGCTGCGATGGACAGATACGAAGGTCAAGCACGGGCAGGGACCTGCGCTCACGTCCGCCGAGGCGAACGCTGGCTCCATGCGACGATCGCCGAGATTCAGGCTTGCTCTCTCTTCCATCCTCTCTCTGCATCAACCTGAGTGTTGGGTCGGGGATCCTAGGTTCTGACAAGTCCCAAAGATATCAGCCGCGTCGCGCAGATGCGAACAACTGATCGCTCCGGTTATCGAGTGAAATCGTCGGGCTAGGCCTTCCCGTTTCGCTTAGATCCTGCGTCACTTGTATGGGAGGGCCTGCGCATACATGTGGCATTCAGGATGAAAAGGGAAGAGGTGGGAAGGGGGTCCCTCGCATACGTGTGGCATTCAGGACGAAAAGGGGCTCGGGGAAGGGAGGAGGGACCAACACACCAATGTTTCCGCGCGTTCATTGAACGCGGGTTTCGCGTTCAAGGTATGAACGCAGTGAACGCACGTTCACTGAAGGCTCGTGAACGCATTTGACGCGTTCGCGCAGGGGGGCGGGCGGGGTGTGGGGTTGCTTTGGGCAGTGTGGGGAGCGGTGGCGGTGCTTGGGGGGGCTGTGGGCAGTGTGGGGAGCGGCGGCAGTGCTTGGGGGGGCTGCGGGCCAAAGCCCCAAGTGAAACGGGAAAAAAAAAAACAAAAAAAACAGTGTGTGTGTGCACACGTGTGTGTGTGCGTGTGTGTTAAAGGTCCTTTTTTTTTTCGAGGGGGTGGGGGAATCCCCCTAACACAACTCAGACAGCCCATGCAGGCTATCTAAAGGGTCCGCGCAGCCATGTAGCGCAGACCCCCCCACCAAACTCGAGGCAGGAGTGAATATGAAATTGAGCACGAGCTGGCGGAATATATACCTGAGATTAGAATTCAGGTCTGTGCTTCTGCAGTTATGGGTTGCTCACGTAGCTAGGGCCTGTTGGTCTCTGCACGTGACTCTTAGGGCTGGGCTGCACTACTCACCAAATGTGCAAAACTAGAATGAATCTTCTTCAGAACATGGAATAATTCACCGCCATATATTTTGTCTTTTGTGCTTGTGGT